GTATGATATAGTCTTTCTCATTCAAAACACCCAACATCTAAGACTGCAAATGTCTAGGGCCCAAAGAAACTAATTCTACATTTGTACAGCACTGTATGTTCTCCACCTTCCTTATTTCCCTTTTTCTAATTGCTATGAAATGATGGTTCAATGACAGGTTAGTGTGTCACTAAATTTAAGGGAAGAGGTTCAAGGTTGTCTCTTTCCTTACATGAGTATTACTGCCTCTGGGGTTGCTTTCAGAAAGGCCTTTCGAAGGCAAGCCAAGCAAAGGCTAATATGTTGTTTCTAATAGAATTTCTTTTGTAAGTGATCTGTAGGTACAAAATTGCATTTGCAAATGTAGAGATAGCATTATAGAAACCAGTGAAAAAGACTCCAGCAGATAATGCAATTCTTCTCTCTTAAGACCAAAAAAACCCAAACCTCAAAACTAAAATTCTGTATTTTGGTTTTCTGAGTAGGCATAGAAAGAAAAATGTATGGAACACAGCTGCTCACACACTACCATGGAAAGCACAAGAGAGAGCTTTCGATAGAGTAGAATGGGATGGAAGTTCAAGCTTTTGGCTGTTTTCTAGTGAGTATGCAAAACTCTAATTGACCTTGATGATCCCTCTGATTTTTCATCAAAACACAAGCATCAGAAGGAAGACAATATAACCTAGCACTGTGTGTCTGCCTGTAAGATGTTACACTAAAAAACTTAAAAAATATGGTAAAGATAATTTAAAAAGATTCCTCTGTACATTCTTTAAACAGAAGGCCATTTATCTTTGAACTCTGCCTAATACATCATTATCTCTGAGCAGAAACTTAATAAGCTTCTACTGTAATTTTGTTGGAGTTAAACATAAAATCATGTGGGTGGTATATGTCTCACCGTGTCATGGCTTCCAGAGGAAAACTTATCATCATTTGTCACTATAATACTGTGGCAAAAAGCATGAAAAGAACAAGAGATACAGTCATTTCACGTCAGCTTTCTGTGCTGAGCTCAAGCGCCTGATGACTTGTATGCAGCAGCTATATTAAGAAGCAGACTGTACTATAATTGAATTAAAGGTGTAAAGGCATATAGGGCTGGATGAACTCCTGGGTCAAGCTGCAATTGAATCAAAATCCTCTCTGCTTCCTACACTGCTTGGCAGAAGTGCTGACCAAAATGTTCACAGACCTACAAAACGCATGCAGGAATCCCTGCAACTGGGGACACAAAGTTACAGAGATAAAAAAAATCAGTGACCTTCAGCTTCTATTTCGCATAAAGAAAAACGCTTCTAAAAATATTTTGCCATTGTTTTCCTTCAGAGAGCAGTCAGTCCATTTACATAAATGAAATGGCTCCTGTCAAGGAACCAGCAAGGAAAAGAAGGAAATTATCTGCCCCAAAAATCTGTAGCAAAGATAAGAGTAGCATTAGCCAGGGGAGGGGAGATTTAAATGCTTTTTGGTTGCTGCAAAAAGCAGGGAGAGTATTACAGATACTTAATGATCTCTGTCACTGTGATAAATAAGTAGGAGCTTCTCCATCAGTTCATTAACAAACACTTCGTAGGTCAGTACAAAAGGTCATGACATGGAGTTGTTAAGAGTGTCTTTATCGAGCCTGATAAAAAAAACCCCAATACAAAACCTAAGGAAGATTAGGGTGGAGTGGTAAGAAGAGTCCTTCCTGGTAGAGCTCAAGGCTGACACCGCATTTGCTGTCACCACTTACCAGTTTCAGTATTCTCATGCTCTGTATCGGTGAGGGTGAGGTTGGAGTTGGCCCGACTCGACAAGCAGGAGCTGCGTCCAGACTTGGTGTTGCGTCCCCAGAGCCTCACTGGGTGCTCGGGCGACATGACCACGTCTGCCTCTGTGTCGGCATCCGATCCGGCACTGATGGAGTAGCCACAGTGAGGCAGCCCGATATCAGTCCGGTACAAAGTTCCATGTGTGGGTGTCACATCTTCAAGACCCAGTTCTCGCAAAGAGAAGTTGGCTCCTGTGAGAAAACACATAGGTTTGGTTATTCTTTATTAGAGTTCCATCTAGCACAAGCCAATAGCAGAAATGTTCATCCTCTGTCTTCATGTGGGGCAGAGCAGCTCGCAAGTCCTGACATCACACCAGAGTCCCCGCTTCTGTGGTCTTGTTTAGTCTGAGACCAAGTGACTGTAGAATCATACAGTCATTAAGGTTAGAAAAGATGTTTTAAGATCATCAAGTCCAACCATTACCCAGCACTTCCAAGTCTACCACTAGACCAGTCTCTAAGCACCACATCTACACTTTTATTTAGCATTTCCAGAGACAATGATTCTACCACTTCTGTAGGCAGCCTGTTGCAATCCCTGACCACCCTCTAAGTGAAGAAATTTTTCCTAATATCCAATCTCAATCTCCCCTGATGTCACTGGAGGCCATTTCCTGTTGTCCTATTGCCTGTTACTTGGGAGAAGAGACTGGCCCCTGCCTCATAACAACCTCCTTTTCATATGTCAAGACCAAAAAAGCAGCTGGATTCCTGCTTCCAGAACCTGACAAAAACTCAGGGCATGCTAAATGAAATCATCAAATTTGAAAGCAAAGATGGATGTAGATGGTGGAACTCTTTAGGAGAGGCAAAAAGTAATCTTCTTGGGAGAAAAGCAAAATGAGGTGCGCAATGATCAAAAGTCCTACCATACACTTGGCAACTTCACTACAATAGGCAATTTGAGTAAGTTCTGCTCATTGAAATCCCTGGAATTACATACTGGGGATTTAAATTTCCTCTGGCGATTTCACTTTCCCCTTGCTGACCACTCACACCTCGACTCAGTTTAGCTATTCATTCTGATACAGTCACAGCAGAGGTTATGTGGCTGCAAATAGATGCAATTGTTTAGCTGACTAAAAATACAACTTGAAAAGTGACTCTTGACTTCATGACTAGTTACCTGCAGAGCTTCAAAATCAGACTGAATTAATGTGAATGAGGCTTCAAATATTAGCACACTTTGTTTGGAAAGTTGCACAAGGAGGCTGGGGAGAGCAATTTTAATCCACATTTATTTATTAATGCATGCATTTATTTTTCAACCCTGAATGTCTTGAAAAGATTTTGGCTGCCCATGAGTGCCTTTAGCTGCACAGTGCATTTATACAGCTCAATGCACCCCTGCTTCTGTTACGCTATGCTTTGGATGGATGAAGGAACTGAGCGGTGTTTCCAGCTCAGACATATTTCAACAAGATAAATCTGAAAGAACAATCCCCAGAAAAGTTCAGGTACAAACTTACCTGTAAACACTGAAGTTCATATCTACTCATTACTGAAATCAATTCATCGAGTCTGCATCTCAATGTTGTCTCCAAAATTGAATTATCATTTTCTCCTTTCTCAAGACCCTACAATCATGGGGTTCTCCTCACATTTCCATTTGTTGATGTTAAATAGCATATAGTGGAAAATGTGTATCCAACAGAAATAATCAGATTTCTACTTTTCCTGAGTATGGTTTTGCACATGTGGAAACACCCTGGGCTTGTCCTTGAACCCTACTGCTTAGGGAAGGTCTCTTGTATTAGAGCAAACGTGTCAGAAGACAGCTGGCCTAAACTAGATGCTATTTTACTACATTTTTTCATTCAGCTGACTTTGCAGCTCTCAGTGAACAAAGAGCAGACTTGAACGCAAGGTAAATAATGAGACTGGACAACATTTTCATGTAAAGCTCAGAGAAGGAACTGTTTGATGGCAGGAGGAAGTAACTCTGGTTCAGCTGGTCACAGATCTGCAGCTGAGAACACTCAAAGTTCATAAAGCATTCATGAACTTCACACCTTTTTAATAGACCAAACTAGAATAAAGCTTTCAGATAGAGTGGACAGAAAAGGTGGCTTAGGGCTCACACCTCTGTCCAACCCTTGGGCTTTGCTTGGGAAACACCATGCAAACATGTGGCACTTGTGGCAAAGTAATCCATTTAACTTGATTGCAAAGTGGTTTGTGAGAGTGTCCTCTATGAGTTCATGGAATGAGGTAGCAAATAACTTGACCTAAGTTGTAAACACAAGGAAGCAGTATCTCCATGGAGATCTTGCTCTTCTCTTCCAGTTTTGATGTATGTGCAAGGCCGGAATAATTTTTAAGCCATCCTTTTTAGAGGATTGGAAAACATCTTTTGGTTTTGCTTGTGTTTGAGTCACTGACTGTGAGTTCTACCTTTCCCTGAAACAAGCCACACAGCATCATCAGGCACATCAACGTGCAGCATGACTGATGCTATCCAGTAACAGCAGCTCATAAATTATGAAAAACGACTGCTACAATTAACTGAAAATCAAATTTATTTGCAATAAACAGCAGCAGATGCATTGATTTTCATACTCTATGCTCACTGTTGCCTTTTAAGCTGGAAGAACTCAAGTCAATAAAGGGAAGATAATAAATATCTGAGGCTTTTTAATTCAGATCTGGTCTATTTTCTCCTGTGCTGACTTGCACATTTGCTGGCACTCACTCTAGCTAAAATCATTTAAATGCTGACTTGTTTATTTACTGAATTTATTTGGTCTATTTGAAATGTTTCCCTCCTCTGCCTTCCAAACCAACACATGAGAGAAACTCACTTTGCCTTGTTGATGTCGAGCAGGCTAAGGCGGCTTGGTTTCAGTTGGCAGGAGGCCAAGCAGCATCACAAAGTGAGGTCCATTCATGGCTTATTGCCAGTGGAAAATGTGGCACAGAAAGTCTGGGTTTATTGTTAAACGTCAGGCCAGTTTAGAGAGTCTCAGGATAAACTAGGAAAAAGCTTGAAATAATCTATGACTGTTATGTCAGAAGTAGAACTGATGCCCAGACATGGTTAATCTTAACTTCTCAATTAATTTCAGTCACTTCGACCAGTCATTGTTACTATTTCTCAGTATAATCCAAAATTTTCCTATGAATTTGTATGAATTTGTGTATAGCAAATTTATACTCCCTTTTCAAGAAAAGTAACCTTTTGTGGGCTTCTTAGGAGAAGTTTGTGGACCTGCATGGCCTCATAGACCCTCAAGTTGAAAACCGCTGACCTGGACTAATTCACATCTATCCTGCATGGTGAATATATTGTATGAAGTGAGCAAACTCAATGACTTAAAGTTTCCTTTTCTTTATAACATTGCAGATTCCTTAGAGAGGATGAAGTACTTCAGTGTTGCTAAGAGGGAAAGTGCTTTTATGATGTCACAGTACTATTTACAACACCTATTGGCCCTTCTGTTGATTATTGCCTTTCGCAGCTATCCTGAAATACAAATACCAAAGTCATGTACACAAAGATACCTCTGAGAGTCATTTTGCTTTTACATGCCTTAAAGATGTGTCTTTCACGAAAACCACAGTGCATGATGTTTGAGGAGTAAAATTAAGCACCCCCCAAGTTAAAAGAGTGCAATTATACACATTCCCTTTGGGGAATAAGCTCCTCCAAATTGCAGAGGATGTGTTCAGAGCACTCTGGGTTGGCTAGTTTATGTTAATTTTTTAGAATGCTGCCTACTCTATTTGACTCACTTTGCCATTTTGTGCTTTTCTTGATAGACTTCTGAAAATAATTTATGTAAAGTCCTGCTTGGCTTCTGAACTACAACACTTGTGCCTCTACAGAAAAATGAAGACAAGACACAGCAGGGGTCAGAAATCTACTGTACATAGGCAACAGCAGTGGTGAAAATGTAACTACACTGACTTTGGAGTAGCAATGAAAAAGTGAATGTCTGAAATCTCTATTAGGACTGTGATGCCCATGGTGACCCTTGAAACTCCACATCTTCACAGACACTGTGACCCAGATGCACTTAATGGGCTCCTGTAAGTCCTAAAAGTGGTTCCTTACTCCTCTAATATTGGAGCATGTTCCCAAGTCAAATCTAAAGCCTGCAGGCCATGTACAATGCCAAGGGTGGTTCATCCCATCTGGAGCTCAGTTGCCTTCCTTCTTTCAGGATTCTTGGGTTTTGCTGTAGACCAGATGGACGTTGTGGGCCGTGGCACTCTCCTCTCACTGTCTTCTGCCTCAGCTTTCTTGTTGACTTCCTTCATAACAGAGCAGGCACACGGCATAGTGAAAGTCCTCCTGAGCAGGCAAGAGCTTTCCACACCATGTCAGTACTGTACAGCACATGCACGGGGGTTCTAGTCTCATGGTAGGAAGTGGCAAAGTGCTGTTGGAGACAAAAAGACTAAGACACAGAAAATGTGTCTTAGTAAATGCTAATGAACATGGGGTATGGATATGCCACTTAAGGACACTGGTCTGCACACAATGTCTGTGGAATATAATGAAGATGATCCTTGTTGCTCTCTCTGAATCTATCTTCCTTTCAGCCTCAGAGTCCTTCAAAGGTATCCTCCCACCCAGCCCCAGCTCTCAGTTGATTCACTCACACTGCTTACAGATCCACCTTCTGAAAAGTACCCACCTGCTCGGCAGAATTCGTCGGCCTCCTGGTGCACCATGTCTTTGACCCGATTGCTGTAGGTCAACCTGGAATCTTGATCATAAGCCTTCAGGGTCTCGCTGGAGCTGTAGGACTTCTGGGGTACCTTGCTGTCCTCACTCTCAGCCGAAGAGCTCGTGTAGCGACGCTCAGTGTCGCGGCGCCGAGTCAGAGATCGATACGGTTTCCTCTCTTTTACATCCATGGCACCCTTATCTGAGTATTCAACATTAAAAAAATGACGTCTGTGTGGTGGTCAGATTGGAATAACCTGAAAGAGAGAATAAAAGAAATTCATGCCTTTGGGCACTTGATGGCTAATTTGCCTTCTTTATACATTCTTGCACTGAAGAAAAGAGATGTTACTCAATGGATCGCAGGAAAACCCTCTTAGAACAATTACCAATAAAAAGAAAGTCTCAATTATATGTGACTCATTTAATAATTGCCACCGCTAACAGGACACATACACGCAGCAACCTGCATCTGTCTGAACTGGGAATGCACTTGGGAATTTGAAACTGATTGTGATATTCTGTGTCTTTTTTCCATGGGAAGTGATTCAGACACCTCCGGGAGGCATGTATTCATCAGTCACCTAATCTCTTGGAAATCAGGTAATGTTGAAATGTCTCTATTTGGGCATCCAGAAGACTTTGGAAAAATGCTGTCCTGCGGTTTTAAAAGTGTTTTGTCAGATTGTGAGGTTACAAAGGATGAACAAAAGACTGAGACAGTGTAAGAAGGCAAGTGGGAAGGGGGAGGGAGAAAAGAAGAATGAAGGGCTGAGATACGGATGGAAATTGGACAAAAATGTCTTCCTATTCAGAGGGCTCATCTTTACTCAGCTGGAAATATATTAGAACTTAAGCAGAGCTGAGAAAGAGTAAATAAGTGATAGTGCTCTGCTTCATGTAACAACATGGCCTGGAATTTATGCCTGTTGGAAAACTAATGTATATATGTAATGTTATGCAAGCATACATATCTGCACACAGAGAAAACAGATAACAGAAATAAAACATGTTAAAAGTACATTTTTCAAAATAATTAATAAATGGTACTTTCACTTCAAATTTATTAAATGCAACAGAAAAAAAGTCAATGACTTGCATCAAGATAGTAAAATATGTTTTTTAATATCTAAACTGGTTTATGAGGAAAAAAAATGATAAAACCCACAAACCAAACATTGAAAATCTGTAATTACGGGCTGAGCTTCTAAGAAACTGAGTCCTCCTGACTGCTAAGGAACAGAAGTCAAGTCTCTAAATGCCACCTCAGGAAATTTTCTTTACCAGCAGCATTTAAAAACATAAAGGAAGAGGTTAAGAAAGAACCTATCAGTTATTGGTCTTTTTCATAGGAAATACATATGGAAATGTATGGCAAGGACTGAATCACATTCTGGTGTCGTTTCTCTCTTGAAAGTCTAAACCCTGAATGTACTAATGAAATCTTACTCCTCCATGATTCAGATCCCAGCCTTGGTACAGATGTTGTCCCGGATTCCAGAGGATCGTAGAATCCTAGCAGGGTTCCGGTTGGAAGGACCCTTCAAGATCATCTAGCTCCAGCCCCCCCTGACACGGGCAGGGACACCTTCCACTAGACCAGGTTGCTCCAAGTCCCAGTCAACCTGGCCTTGAACACTTCCAGGGATGGGGCAGCCACAGCTTCTCTAAACAATCTGTGGCAGTGCCTCATCACCCTCACAGTAAAGAATTTCTTTCTAATATCTAATCTACACCTGCCCTCATACAGCTGTGATGCAGTAGCTGAGGATGGATGTGCTGTGAGCTTTGCAGGTTGGCTTAAAGGGATGTGGTGTAATGTGGCATTTGTGGGTTTCAAAATATGGGTGTTTGAAGGATAGAAGACTCTTGGCACAGAGTCTTCTGAAAACCTACAAATCATAACTGTAATGCTGAAGCCTGAAGACAACATTTTATTAGCAATTCCTTACTTGCCAAAGTGTCTGACACAAGCAAAAGTAAACAAATACTGGAGTTGAAGAGAGATTATGGGAAGGAACAAGAGCTGCAGGAAGGTTGTGAGATACACCTGCAGCTGGGCAAAGCAAAGGAGGATTACACTCTTGGAACTCTCATGGGGATAAACCATGACACACTCCTATTTCTGCAATTCTGATTTTGCTAAAACTGCTAACTGGGTTTTAGTCCTTTTAATCTCCAAAATGAACTTTGCAATGATAGACCCCAATTCCAACACCTTGTACAGTTCCTGTGGGATTCTTTCCTGGAAACGAAGACACTACTATATATTAAAAAAAAATCCACTTCATTCTCTTACAGTTTATTCCACTGATGGTGGCAGACCAAGTTCACACTTTCTATTTGTCAGCAAAACGCATAGAAATTATCAAACACTGATGGGAGGATGAGGGGAAAAGGAGTGTCTTATAACTGAGCTTTACTTAAATCATTCCCAGAGATTTGAGCACCACTTGGATTATGTTTTAATATATTTTTAATATGTTTTTTATTTAATATGTTTTTAAACTCGCTGAACTCACTGACTTAAAATCAGTCATGTAAATTCAACAGAGTGAATGTAAATGGGATTACTCACCAGCCTAAACTGACACATGTTAAATGTTTTGTAGGCCAAATATACAAAAAGTAAGGCCTGAATGTAGAAGCCATAGTGAAGGAAATTGTGTTATGCTAAGGACCAGTAGTAGCATACAAGAGATCTACCAAATATCAGTATATATTTTTTTGCATTGAATCAAACATATTGGTGCTTTCACAGTGGAGAGAGCTAAAAGAAATAGAGCATCTGATTGCTTTTCAGTGCACTGTCTTCTTCTCTTAAAAAAAAAAAAGCCCTTTTTGGCTTGAAAAATTGTGACTTTTTTGCACTTGTTATTGAGTCAATTTGTCTGCTTTATAGCATCTTTTTTTGTGTGAAATCCTGAGAAGGACCAGGTTTGTTATACTTTTGAATAAAACACCTTAAAACAAGCTCCTTCACAACATCCCTGTAGTAACAGCTGTTATAATGAACACTAAAATTGTGGTTTATTGTCATGGGGGATGGAGATAGCAAAATGTGAGCAAGAAGCAGTTACTCTATAAGAAAGAAATGAGGAGAGGTGGCTTCTATCTGTTTCCGAGCATTGTAGCAATTCCTACTGAGGGCTAGTCATTTAAAACCCCTCTACCGGGAGAGGCACGTGTGCCAAGATAACCTTTCTGCACAGTTAGAGCCACAAGGTACAAACAGGGTCTGTAATTACCATTAGTAACCTTGCAACTTAGGAAATGACAAAAAACCATGAGGAAATTGACTGAATTCCCACCAGATGAAGAGTTTTCTTTTTGTAAAGAAAGGTGCTGAAAACCTGAAATTCCTCCTACAGTTCATCAAAAATAGCCCTGTAAATTTGCACCATCCACATGTACATTCCTCTGTAACAGTGTTTCTATTCCCAATTCATTCATATCTTTACAAATTTAGCTCTTCTCAACTTTTTATTTCTCTCTCCCTCACCACTTGGTTTGATTTTCCAACTAGAAAGGTCACCTCCCAAAAACATAGTGAAGTGGGGTTTTTTTTATTATTTTTTTTTAAAGAAGGAACTGTTGCATTTAACTGACTTAAGTAAATTTCCAGTACTTCTCCATGGACATGCAGTTCTTGTCATCTGAGTTTTATGGCCCAATTCCCAGATGGTTTAGATACCTTACGTTCAGTAGAGTTGTGTTGTCAGGGAATTTGCCTCATAATGTTTCTGTGATAGATTATTATTTTATCTGCTACTTCTTGTGTCTAGATTTCACTTCTGCTACAATTTCATCTGTGCCATCAACACCTCACATTTTTCCTGACTTCTCTGGCCCACGGCGAATACAAAGAATCACACTCGTCTCAGTTACATACTCAACCACCAGTTTCTTTCCGTCTTTAGCTCATGATTGCTCCTCATAATTTTAAAAGCTTCCATAAACTTGCTGGACTGGATGTAAAAAAACCCAAGGCTTCTAATAATGTTCCTTTCGATCCCTGTGCTCCTTTTCCCTCCATAGAAGCACAAAACCCTCCTACTCTGAACCATTTCTATTTGGAAAGGGTTTTCTTGTCCTATAACGCAGTGTTTCTGTCTCTTTTTGATTCTTTCATCATTCCTGCTGTCTGCCAATTTCATCTTTTTTCCATTTTTTTTAAAAAAAATTTTTTTAAGGCCAGTTAATGGCAATAGCCATTCTTATTTTTGTTAGCCCTCTGTGGATGCAATCCCAGCAGGACCACAAGCTGATCTGGGGTGCAGTTCACAACAGAAATAAGCTTTACTTATTCTACTCAGAAAAATCCCACTGACCCCAGAAAGGGTTACTCACATGTAAAGACATATAAAATCAGACTACTTGAAAAAGTTATATTTTTCAGAGATGTGGGACTCTTCTCACATCCTTGCATATATGTCAAGGAGTGGAACAAAAAAATCAGCTTTCTAGTTCTGGTGCGGTAGTGCAGCAAATGCAGTGCTTATTTGCAGCTCTTTGTGTTCTGCTTTTCCTTTGGTTGGCTCCCAAATAATCCTTTTTATGATGTTTTATCCTTTATATCTATCCTCCTTATTCTCAGTTCTGTTGCTTTTTGTTGCTCTTTGGA